TTTGGTATTCATAAAAGTGTTGAAGAGACCATTTTAGGTAAGAGGCAGGTAGAAATAAAGTAAGAAACAGACAATATTCACACTATATAGAAATCCCTGAAAGAAAATTAGAAAGGAAAAAAACAAATTCTGTTGAGATGAGAATGTTGGAAAATAAAGAGTATTTAAGACCCTCATTTTTTACATTTTAATCAACTTATTTCCAAATAACTATTTCATGCTCTTGATTCCATGAACTGTGCTTTTAGCATAATATATAGTTTCCCCTACCATTTTAGTGTTTATACATTAATTACTGAAAAGAAAGGAAGAAATTATTGAATAAATGCCAGGGAAACTGGGTTTAATTCCATTTTCCAATAGCACTAATGTACAGACAGTTCTTTAACCTTCCATATGGTGCTTTGTGTGATGAGAGTTTATATAACATTTATATATGTTATTAGTGCCTTATTTTTTTCACTTTATTTCTTATCTAAAGAGCCATATATTTTTTGTGAGTGTTCCTTGGTCCCTCTATTTAAAGTCCTGCTGAGACCATGTATCTTCAAAGATGTATATAGGCTGTATTTGCTACCTTAATCCACAGTATTATCTCTAGGACAGCAGGTTAGTTAGCCAATCAATGTGTTTTTGTTAAATTCATTGTTCATTTTTAAAGCTAAAGGATATTAAACACCACAAATCAAAGCCATTGTAATTGATGTATTTGTAAGCCACACACATAAAAAGAATGCTGATCATTAAAGTTTAAATCAGGAGTTAGAGTGGCTGTCTTTATATATAGCTAAAACTAGGACAAAAATATTCTGTAAAAAGCATTAAAAATCCAAGTAATTTTAAGGTACTTCAGGAATTTGATCAGTCTGCTACAACTTGTCTTTGGCAATACATTATCAGTAACCTAGTTCTACACAGATGCTGAAAAACCATGGTTTTTGATATTTACATGTAATTATTCATTCACAGTGGGCTTTTGGACATCAAGAAATTTTGTACAATATGTTAGTTTGTTCTTTTTGGTGTTTGTGTCTTATGTTAGCTTTATACAAAGAAGCTTGTTTTCTTGTATTCTTTGTGTACCATAGTATGTGATTCAACTCTTCCTGATGAATGTATGATGAATAATTAAAATAAATCATGGGTTTAGAAAAGACAAAGACACAGGTTGTATATGCAAATATGTGTAAATATTGGACAAAGAAAAAAAAGAGGGAAAAAAATCTTCCTGCCAACAGATACATCCTGCTGGACAGGACCTGAAAATTAGTAGATCTTTTTTTTTTAAGAAGTGAAATTTTTAAATCTATTACCTCAGTAATTTTCAGTGAATATATGTCAGTGTACTGCTCCTTCTTAGTAAATACAGTCTCACTTGCTGCTGGCGGTAAAAGCAACCCACGTGTCAGATCACACGAAGTTTAGGGGCAAGTCTTTGAAAAGATGGATACCTTGTGATATTCTGCAGTCTAATATTGGACTTTTCATTAATGTCCCTGTCACCTTTCACTGTGGTTGGGTTTTCTTTTTTGTCGTTTTGGTTGGTTGGTTTAGAATGGAAAGATAATCTTAATTATGAGATCTGAACTCATGGAAGACTACAACGATTGCTCACTCTGGATGAAAAGTATAAGGGGAATCAACTCTTTCAATTGTCGCTGTATGAGCTGTTGTATAGATTCCTGTGGAGTGCTGTGTACTCGCATGATGTGTGAGAAACATCATGGAGCGGCATCTAGCAATGCCTATTAAAGGTTTTTAAAAGAGAAGACTCTTGCCTTTTTTCTTGTATTTTTCTTGATTTGGAATTTAAAGAAATCACAGGGTAAAATTTGACAGCACCAATACACTACACGACATAAGTAAACTTGGAGAAAGTTCTGGAAGTCATTTCGGAAATGACTAGATTCTAAAAATGGAGAAGCAGGAACGAACAGAAATTCATGGGTGTGTTTTACTTAGAAGGTGGATAGTGGTGCGTTGCTGTGGCATGTTTTGAAGAAAGCACACTGAACAGTGAAGATCAGTCTCTAGACAAAGGGGGCTGGACTGAAACAAGAGAAGTAAAAGCCGCTAAAGCTAAATATAGATGACTACCCTTTAACTTAGTAATTCTTCTCCTAGCTCTCTAAAGAGGGAAATAAGGGCATTTATTGACCAAAGACATGTATAAGAATTCCCATCATCAGTAAATTGTATATTGGGGAAGGGGGGTTCTAGTTCAAATGGCAACACAGGAAGATACTAGCCATACCTATTAAGCTCACCTCCTCCTGCAGACACACCAAATCGACATCTATGTAGATTTACTCTGAAAAAAGAAACAACTTACTCTGAAAAAAGAAAATTAAAAACCGGTGGGGTGACTCCTTCACATCAGGCAGACAGGAGGGTAACCTCATCAGGAAAGGCTGAGCCAGACCTTGCCATAAACCCCACTCTGCAAGACAACCCACAATCATGAGGAATCCGAAAAACCACACTTCTGCCTGAGGCACAGAGGGTCTGCAC